CGTGTTCTGAAAGTGGTTCTTCCTAACGTTTCGCCAGTCTCTGTGGCCGGCATCTTCAGAGGACAGCAAACTGTGCTCTGGGAGGCTGAGAGTGGGTGGAGTATTTATGGTTGTGAGAAGGCTAGTTGGTGAGGTAGGCTATTGTCCTAATCAGGAGATGGTTGATTGTGTTTTGTTATGGCTGCATTGTTTTGATCAAGAGGGGGGATTATCTGTCCCTGTGGCTGATGGGTGTCGTTAGCTGGTTTTTTGTGTGCAGTAATCCCTTGACCTTGTGGCTGGGTGGAGTTCATTGACCTTTTGCACTCTGTGTTTTTGAGAGCTGGGAGCTGAGATGAGATGAATTTGGCCCAGCTCCGGGAGGCAATGGAAGACAGGAGGGCCTGGTGTGCTCTGGTCCATGGGGTCATGAAGAGTCAGACACAACTAAACGACTAAACAACAACAACTGGTGTGATTTCAAAGGGAGTAAAAGTGATTTGCAGCTCAGAGACTGGACCCAGTAATGTTTTGCCAAGCTCAGAAATCGTTCCAGCCATTCAAAAGTTTCATGGTACAAGGCCGAAATTGTCAGCAAAGCATAAAGCTGATTTATTGAAGCAAACGGAGGGGAAGTTTTCACGTGTTACTGTTCCTGAAAAGTTTGTTTGCATAATGATGTTACATATGCCCTGTATATGATTATGATTTTGATTATTTTTTGATTATTTTTTGATCTGTTTATATTAAGTTACACAGGTTTTTTCTCCCCCCCTTTTTTCTTTTTTCCTCTCCCTTTTTGCTTTTTTCTCTTCCCCTTCTCCTTCCTTTCCTTTTCTCCACCCAGTCATGGAATGGAAGGCCTGCCTTCCCAGCGTGGGGCCCCAAAACATCTCTGTGGTCACGGGTAGGGGAAGATATGGCGTTGGTGCCGTCCCTGCACGTGTTAGAAGAACGACGGACAGATGCTTAAAACCTGTTCATTGTTCTGAGATGGTGTCCAACCCCCAATATCGAGGTAGCCAGCCCAGTCGTCCATCCACTCTGCGGCTGGTGTTGTTGAATGCCAGGTCTGTATCCAACAAGGCCCAAGTAATTTGCGATCTTATCTTGGAGCAGGATGCAGACCTGGCATGCATAACCGAAACATGGATTGGCGGAGAGGGGGGTCCCCCCTAGCTCTCATCTGCCCGCCCGGTTATGCTGTCCAACACCAGGGTAAACTGGAGGGTCGGGGGGGAGTTGCCATTGTCTATAAATCCAACCTGGAGGTTACGAGGCACTCCTCGGTGATAAAGCCGGGTCTAGAGGCCCTCCATGTGTCGATTGGGGCCAGGGACGGTATTGGGAGCTTGCTGGGCTACCGTGCTCCCCGCGACCCAGCCATTTCC